AATTTGAACTTTTCTAAAAATCCAAAGAATAGCTGCTCACTGTAGAAGACAAGGCTAAGCAGCACATGCCCCTGCACCCGTGTCCGAGCCGGCCCGAACCCAGTGGAATGAGCGGCCTTCGCGCTCTTCTGCTCTGGTCGTTTCTAAAAGCCAGCATCACTGAGTTTCCACCAAGGAGAAGCAGAAATGACCGGCCGCCCACCAGGCCCGGCGTGGCCACTTCCCAGCGCCCTCTGTTCAGAGGGTGACCGAGGCTTAGCCGGGGTCGGGCCTGCTGGGGAGGAGATGGAGGCCGGGACCTGGCTGGACACGCGCCCGTGCACACACTCACCTCCCGGTGGCTGCACACACACTCCCGTGCGCACACTCACCTCCCGGTGGCTGCACACACACCCGTGCGCATACTCACCACCCGGTGGCTGCACACACACTCCCGTGCGCACACTCACCTCCCGGTGGCTGCACACACACTCCCGTGCGCACTCACCTCCCGGTGGCTGGTCACACAGGCCCGTGCGCACACTCACCTCCTGGTGACTGGTCACACACTCCCGTGCGCACTCACCTCCCGGTGGCTGGTCACACTCCCGTGCGCACACTCACCTCCCGGTGGCTGGTCATGTCGCTGTGGAAGGCTCGGCCGCCTCTCCCCTGCCGTGTGGGGTCCCCGGTGGGCAGGAAACAGAGGTCTCTGCGGGGGTCCAGGCTGCGCGGGGTGGGGAGGTCACCGGGACGCGCCCCGGGGTCAGGGTCTCTGCGGGGTGGGGAGGTCACCGGGACGTGCCCCGGGGTCAGGGTCAGGGTCTGTTCGAGGGGGGGGGGGGAGGTCACCGGGACGCGCCCCGGGGTCAGGGTCAGGGTCTGTGCGGGGTGGGGAGGTCACCGGGACGCGCCCCGGGGTCAGGGTCAGGGTCTGTGCGGGGTGGGGAGGTCACGGGGAGGCGCCCCGGGGTCAGGGTCTGTGCGGGGTGGGGAGGTCATGGGGAGGCGCCCCGGGGTCAGGGTCTGTGCGGGGTGGGGAGGTCACCGGGACGCGCCCCGGGGTCAGGGTCAGGGTCTGTGCGGGGTGGGGAGGTCATGGGGAGGCGCCCCGGGGTCAGGGTCTGTGCGGGGTGGGGAGGTCACCGGGACGCGCCCCGGGGTTGGGGCGCGGGTCGGGTCGGGTCGGGCAGCGGCCCCGCGCCCCCCCTCCCGACCGCCCGGCTCCTCGACGCGCGTACCTCCAGCCGCCGCGGCCCGGCTGGGCCTCCCCCTTACCGGGCGCCACTGTCCTCGCCTCGCCGTCCGCCCGCGGGCGCCCGCTCCGCCGGGCTGCTGAGGTCCTCCCGGGCCGCCTCGCCCGCCCCGCCCGCCCCGCCCGCCCCGCCCCGCCCACCGGACCCCGAGCTGGTGGCGGCCAAGCTCTGCCCCCGCCCCGCCCCGCCCCGCCCGCCCCGCCCCGCCCGCCGACCCCGAGCCGGTGGAGGCCAAGCTCTGCCCCCGCCCCGCCCCGCCCCGCCCGCCCCGCCCGCCCCGCCCCGCCCGCCCCGCCCGCCCCGCCCCGCCCGCCGGACCCCGAGCCGGTGGAGGCCAAGCTCTGCCCCCGCCCCGCCCCGCCCGCCCCGCCCCGCCCCGCCCGCCCCGCCCCACCCCGCCCCGCCCCGCCCCGCCCCGCCCCGCCCGCCCCGCCCCACCCCGCCCCGCCCGCCGGACCCCGAGCCGGTGGCAGCCAAGCTCTGCCCCTGCCCCGCCCTCCTCCCCACTCTCCAGAACCCGGGGGCCGACGGAGGCCCGAGCTGCTGGTGGCTGCGAATCATCCATCCTGAGCCCCGCCCCCGTCCCCACCCCCCAGTCCACCCTCCACCCCCACTGTCCACCCTCCACCCTTCATCCTCCACCCTCCACCCTCCACCCTCCATCCTTGTCTGAGAGCCCCAGCCTTGCAGACCCAAACCAATACCCAGGACCCCAGCTGGGTGGCTGCCCCGTGGGGACCCCAGCCATGGCCACCGGCCGTGTGCTGTCTCCGAGTTCTCCTGCCGGACACTGCCCTGGTGGATTCCACACCTCACCCAGGGTAGGGTCCAGGTTGCCTGGGCACAGGACGGAGATGTCAGCGTCCTCCTCCAGCCTGACCTTTGACATCACCTCATCTCGGGCTCATCAGGGCTGTTCTTGCCCTGCTCCTGTGGCCAGCCCTGCCCCTCACCTCCCTCCTTCCATCTCCATCTGCTCCCTCTGGCAATGCCCCTGGGCCCTGACTGCCTGGTCTGTGGAGGGTCACTTTCTTCCCAATCCCTAGACGGAGGAACAGTGGGTAGTGTACTTGTGTACTTAGGTTACCTGAGCCTGCACACAACACGGTTTCCCCACGCAGCCTGAGCCTGGCTCCCAGACCAGACCTAGGGAAGCCCTTCCGCCCGTCTTGGTCTCCTGGATGGACCTCTGCTGCCATCTTGAGGTCTCTTCTTCTGGGACAGAGCTGGCACTTTCCAAACCAACCTCACACGGAGCTCTGGGAGTTTTCTTTTTCCTTTTGAAAATGTGTTCCTTGTAATTTTCCTCTGCATTAACCTTTCCAGATGTTTTGTGTCTAATTCCTAAATTATGCACCATTTTGTCATTTTTTTCTAGAAGCCCATTCTGTTTTGAATGGATGTGGTATCCTCATCTAAGATGCCAAGAGATCCCCTCCTTGGAATCCCAGCCTAAGTTCTTCCAAAGACTTCGTGATTTACTTGCCTACACATCAGTGAAGGAGACACATAGGCATCAGATAAAATGCAAGAGAATCAAGAAATAATCCCTAGCAATTGTGCTTGATTAGAGGTCAGGTATGTCTGGGTACAGACGTGTGGAAGGAGGAAGTTGGTTCCTCTCTAATTCTATATGCGGACATTAAGTAAAACTGAGAAGAGATCAGGTTGCCCCCAAATGAAAGGAAGATCTTTTTTGAGTCTCCAGAGGGAATTTCACTGGCTTGTCATGAGAACGTTTTAAAAATGTCTTCCTGGGGCTGGGAAGGTGGCTCAGTGGTAGAGTGCTTACCTCCCATGCATGAGGCCCTGGGTTCCATTCTTCAGCACCACATAAGCAGAAAGAAAAAAGCTAGAAGTGGTGCTGTGGCTCAAGTGGTAGAGCACTAGCCTTGAGCTGAAGAGCTGAGGGACAGCGCCCAGGCCCAGAGTTCAGACCCCACAACCGGACCCAAAAAAAAATAAATAAATAAAAATGTCTTCCCCCTTGTGATACAGGATCAGTGCATTACAGAGCATTCTGGAGCAACGCTGGGTCCTGTGGACACTACCACCGGCTATCCACAATCCCTAACCAGCTCCACCCATCCTTACTCCACCCTATGCAGTTCTAAACAACAGGACAAAAGCTGCAGCGGACACACAGACAACTTACCCCAGCCATTCTTCAGTGAGGGCAGGTCTGTGTGGCTGCACTGACCGTGGCAGTAGCTCCAGTTCAGCACTCTTGTTATCCGACACCTGAAGCTGTTTTCCTTGTTCTGGCTGCTAGACCCCAGACACCCTGCTTTCGGGAAGGCACTGGCGGCCCTTCCTGGATGCCAGGTCTTTTTGGGACAACTTGGGAACATCTGGGAACCTGCTTGCCTTTGGGTAGGCACTGCCTTCCCACACCCCTGAGCCCCGTGTCCTCCTGGCATTCCAGATCACAGAGAAGACCCTACCCTACAAATCACAGAACTCGAGTCCATGCCTCCACGGCTGGAATCCTTGACTCAGGCCATTCTGAATTTGCTCCCGTAGTCCGGACCATGTCAAACAGCTCAGGTCTTCCTGCAAAGTGTGAAATAAATACACCACATGTAGATGATCTTTAAGTGTATGGTATAGATGCACATAGTTGTGAGATAGGGAAGGCATCCCCCTTTTCCATCATATACCTCTGGTATACGTGCACATCTCAGGAATGTGGAACAGGTACACTCAGGTGTGTTACATAGGTTCTCTAAAGACATGTGGCAAGAACAGCTAGACAAAGCTGGGTGGACCCCACACTGGGACCAGCATGCTTGAGGCTCATCAATAAGAAACTTCCATAGGTATAGCTGCCCAATGGAAACAGAGTTGTAGGTGAAAGTGCCAGTATAAGACAGTAAGACAAGCCGGGCACCAGTGGCTCACACCTGTAATTCTAGCTACTCAGGAGGCTGAGATCTGAGGATCGAGGTTCAAAGCCAGCCTGGGCAGCCAAGTCCAAGAGACTCTTATCTCCAATTAATCACCAGAAAACTGGAAGTGGCGCTGTAGCTCAAGCAGTAGAGCGCTCGCCTTGAGTTGAAGAGCTGAGAGACAGTACCCAAGTCCAGAGTTCAAGCCCCATGACTCCCCCCACCCCCCCGTGTCCGACCCCCTCCCACAAAGATAGTATGACAGGGCTGGGACGGTGGCTCAGTGGTACAGTGCTTGCCTAGCATGCATGAAGGCCTGGGTTCAATTCCTCAGTACCCCATACACAAAAAAACAGAGGTGGTGCTGTGGCTTCAGTGGTAGGAGTGCTCGCCTTGAGCAAAAAGAAGCTCAGGGACAGGGCCCCAACCCTGAGTTGAAGCCCCAGGACTGGGGAAAAAAAGTAAAAAGGAAGAAAACAGCTAGGTATCACCAAGTGCTAGACTCGTGGAAGCTGACCGTACCTAGTGGTACCCATGACTCTAGTCGTGTCTGCAGTACGATTGGCATGTGTCTCTCCAGAGACTGCCATCTTGGGGTCATACCCTAGGCCCCCCCCATGATCCCACCACTGTACACCCAGGTAAGAAACCCTCAGATTCTAGTCTCCAGAAAGCCCATGGGTACCTTTCTACCTTTGGCACCTAACAGAACCCCGATGTCCTCATGCCCTTCCCTGAAATCTGAATGTACCGCCCACACCCTCCAGTGGTGTCCGAAGCACGGGTCAACATCACACACATTCAGATGTGTGCGCATCTCAGATGGTGCATGTTGGAGACATGAAAAAAATTTTTAATGAGAGAAACCAAAATGCAGTCCAGTATTCTGTATCATTACTTTATTGCATATTTTGTATGTTTCAATGAATACAATAAATACTCTCTTAAAAAAGTAAGGCACATGAAAAGTTTCTGTGCAAGTTCCATTATTACTCATAACATTCCATATAATTTGAAAATTCTACTCTAGTGGAAGCATTTTCAATTACAGAACTGAAGATGTTGAGAAAAGGACATGATACATGTTTTGCTTGCACGTAAAATATCTGAATCATTATTACACTTTACCTCACGGCCCAGTCAGCAAAGCCAAGGTTTGTAATCGTATCACTGAAGCTACTGTTACAACTGCAATAGCACTAATCGGTTTAAACGTGTATGTACAGTCGGGTCACAAGTATTAATTATAGAAAACCCACAGAAGGAAGAATAACTAATCTAACTGCATCTTCGTCCTGATTTGCCCCAGGTAGGGGGTTGGCATTTTCTTCCCAAACAGTGCTGATATTCACAAGGCGTAGTTACACGATGCTGAAGACCATGGAGAGATACTGCTCGTAAGACACCTGAATCCAGCCATCTTGATCCGTGTCGTAGCGCCTGAATATATCTGTCAGCCTCTAGGAGAACAGGGATTTAGATGGGTACTGGCTGAACAGAAAGCAACAGGCTTATGTAAAAAACACATAGGGACCCAATACGAATCAGAAGCACCGGTTTTTCCTTAACTCCCAGGGGGACAATCAGCAATGGTATGGACGCAGGGAGGCACAAGCCCTGAGCACCATAGTCAGCATTTCCAGACCACAGGGTAGCACAGTCCAAGGGGAAAGGTCACAGGGTGGGGCAGGTCCAACCCGACCAGGCCCAAACGGGGCCCTGGCTCCTAGCCCACACCACTCAGAAGACAGCTCCTCCTGACAACTCACCTCTGCTGGTGGTGGGGGCCTGGGCCAGGGAAAGCTCAGGACAGGGAAAAAGGCCCAACCTAGGCACTGCCAACAGCAGCACAGGCTGTGTACACACCATGCAGGGCCTACCCCACCCTCTAACCCTTTACCTTTAACAGCCTGAAGAGCAGGCCAGGTCAGGAGCAGAGAGGAAACCACCCTACACCCTAACACAGCATGCGCCACTTCTGAATGGACGTAAAATATACTTTAGTGCCAAGAAAATACAAGTCAACTCCAAGTGGCAACAGAAAAATACAGTAGCTCCAACGCATCAAGACCTACTAGAGTTCATTTGGCCTCCAACTCCCATGTGTCAGCCATTAAATGTTTCTGTATGAAAAATACTAGCACAAACACTCCAGTCACACACCACAAAACCTGTGTTTTGGTCAGTGGAAGACTGCAGATATGATTAACAACTGGTACAAGGTGGGCCGGGAATGTCTCCCAGAGCCCATGTGTTAGAAAAGTCTTGGTTCCCAGTATATAGAACCATAGGCAGTGGAACCTGTGGGAGACAGGGGCTAGTGGAAGGAAGTTAAGGCCCTAGAAGAGGATACTGGAGCCCCTGTCCCAACTTTGCTTTCTGACCGTCATGAGAGGGATCTTCTCTACCATTACTCCTATCAGGACACTAACCCTAACCAGACCCAAAACAACCATGCAACCATCAGCTGACACCTGCAAAATTGTCAGGTATTTGTGGTAACCACAGAAAGCTGAATAGCAAATGTGCCACGGAGCACAGACATACAGAAAGTTTTGCTGTACACATACAGCATATATGCTATATGCTATATGCACAGTAACAAAACCCTCTGGTGCTGCATCCCACAGAAATGCTTCCCTGTGGTTAAGTGGCACAGAACTGCACAAACAGTAGCAGTCGTCAGTTCTGACTCAGAGAAAGGTGAGAGGCGCTGTAGGTGAACACTTGCTGCACATGTATGAGGTCTTGTGTTCACATCCCAGCACCACAAAACAAAAAACAAAGAATGGGTAAATTTTCTTTCTCTAATATTCTATTTGGTTTTTTTAATGTCTTTAAAAATAATCTTTAAGTAATTATATGGAGGGTGGCTTCAATTCAATGTCAATTTAGAGTACAACGCATCTTGACCAATGTTGCCTTCCATCATTTCCCCATCTATATTCTATTCGTATTTCCCCAGGATTCCTACCGCTTTCCATGTCATTTTATATACAAGAAAAAAAAGACTTCAAAAAGACTTGTTTCTTGGAAAAAAGACAAAGGAAAACACTTTTAAGGATATTTTCAGGGGCTGGGAAAGGTGGCTCAGTGGTAGAGTGCTTGTCTTGCATGCATGAATTCGATTCCTGGGTTCGATTCCTCAGCACCACAAAAGCAGAAAAAGCCAGAAGTGGCACTGTGGCTCAAGTGGTAGAGCACTCGCCTTGAGCTGAAGAGCAGAGGGACAGCGCCCGGGCCCAGAGTTCAGGCCCACGACCAACAAAAAAAAGAAAGAAAGGGTCTTTTCACTTGTAGGCTACAGCTTTTCTCTCTCAGCACTGGGGACTGAACACTTGCCTATGCTGGCTAGTCAGTGGCTCTACCACTTGGTCCTTTTGCTTGTGTTTGCATTCCAGATAGTGCTGCACTTTGCTACGGCAGCTTCAGATGGGGATCCTAATTTGGCCTCCAGAAAAGCTGGCTTGTGCCTGTGCTTTTTTTTTTGAGGTGAGCTCTCCCTAATATTTACCCAGGCTGGCCTTACACCACGATCTTCCTGTCTACCTCTGATGTGGCTGGAATTACAGAGGCATGGCCTATTTTCTTTTAGATTCCACCAACTCTGTCTAGTGGTTAAGGCCACGGTCAGAGTGGGACGCTGGACTCAGGAACAGGTGAGTCCCGTGCTGGATATTGGGAGGCAAAAATCACCTCACATGGAGGACTTGGGCCTTTGGGGGCTGGAGAGCTACCCAGAGGATTTGACTGTGTCGCCCGAGCTGCTGAAAGGCCAACAGGCCCACAATTAGGCAGAAACATAGGATCAGAAGTTTATTAGTTATGGGACAAATGAAAACTGGAAACTCTACAACACTTTAGAAACAGTCCATAGAGAAATTCCACAATGCTCCTCTTAAGAGTGCTCCACCAGGGGCCGGACAGGTGGCTCGGTGGTAGAGCGCTTGCCTCACATGCATGAGGCCCTGGGTTCAATTCCTCAGCACCACATAAGAAGAAAAAGCCAGAAGTGGTGCCGTGGCTCAAGTAGTAGAGCGCTAGCTTTGAGCAAAAGCAGCTCAGGGACAGAGCCCAGGCCCAGAGTTCAAACCCCAGGGCCAGCAAAAAAAAAAAAAAGTGTTTCGACCTGGCCAGGCCCTGTTGGCTCACGCCTGTCCTCCCAGCTACTCAGGAGGCTGAGAACCATGGACTGTGGTTCAAAGCCAGCCTGGGCAGCAAAGTCCATGTCACTCTTTATCTCCAATAAACCATTAAGAAAACTGGAAGTGGCGCTGTGGCTCAGAGCGGCAGGGCACTAGACTTGAAGAGCTAAGGAACAGCGCCCAGGCCCAGAGTTCATGTCCCATGACCACCTAAGAGGAACTGAGCGGGGAGGGGGTAGGGGAAAGACAAGGCAAGGCCTTCCCATTTCAGAGGTGCGATGCCTGAATCCTAATGGAGCTACTCGCCAATGAAATTCACATTTTTCCTGGCTCAGCCTCCCAGGTTCTGGGATTATAAGTACATACCACCAGGCTAGGCCTATAATCACTTTTAAAGAAATCACAGAGTGCTAAACCAGCAGGTCAAATTGAGAGAAAATGCACTTTTACTGATCTATTAATTCTGATATTAACACTGATCTATTACTGGAAGAGATCTGAGAGTACTTTCCAAAATTCCACATCTTATCCAAAAACCCTGTGTGGCCCTTATTTTTCCATGTGTATGAAGCTAGCAGACATGACCTCAACCTGGACTCAAACTACAAGGACTTACTACTGTAGCAATATGGGGAAATACCTCTTCCATGCTGAAAATGGAGTGTGGTGCGGGGAGGTATTGCAAGCACCACACCTACACTAATGGCTATCACTCAATCTCATTATTATGCTGTGCCACGACCGCTTGTGTTTAAAGCACTCCACCACAAGTCTTAAAGATACCTAAAAGTTTATCAATCCACTTCATTTCCAAAGTTGTAAGCTATAACCTGGATATCTAACTAAAGGCAGCAGGCAGACTGTTCCACGTACCTAACGAGGGCCATGTATATCCTGAGGAATGTACACATCATAGAACATTCTGGAGTCGGCTGAGAGCAGATGGCATAGGTCCATCAATCAGCACGGCCTCTCCATATAAGGGTTACAATAAAGGTTAAGATACTAGATGTCTACCAGTGTAAACAGTGTGTTTGTAATAAGCTTTTTCAAAAGCAGCTATATAATGATAAAAAGCATAGTATACCAAATATAAGTCAGGCTGTAGGTTACTATCATTACCAAGGATTAGGCACTGTAAGTTAACTATGTGCTACACTTCGTAAGACTGACAACCAAGGTTCACACCAGCCATTACTGTAAAAATGCAATGCTTCGTGCTATGATATCATGACATTATGAATCATAGTAACTACACCATCACTAGGCAACAGCTTTTTTCCAGCTCGTGACCTTACAGGAATCAAACTGAAATGTATTATACAGCATCTGGCTGTATTTCCAAGGGTATGAAAAACTATGAACAGAACACCAGTTATTTCTCCAAAGATAAGGCAATTCTATACATGCTGGTGGCACCCCGTTCTGCTGGCTACCCACTTCCTGTCCTCCCGTCAGCCTCCGTGAGCCTCAGAAAACCCGCATGATGCTCGCTGCCCAGTCACCTGCAGGACGATGCAGCCTTGAATGAAGTCATCAAACGCAATCTGGCCTCGTCCCTGTCGGTCAAACTTTCGGATGAGGATGTCGTGGAACTGGTCAGAGAGCCGGTAGCCTGGGGAAGCGAGGACCAGAGTCAAAAGAGGTCAGGAAGGCAGACACGTATCATTTCCAAACTCTCCCGCGCCATCATCAATGTGGAAATAAAAGTGTAAATTCCTTCAAACGCACTCTAAAAACCAAGACACTACTCAAATATTCTGAAGTGATTTAGGTTTCTAGTACTATTTTTCCAGAAACTGGAACAGTGATGTGGAAGCTAATGCAGTTCTGCTTCCCACAAGCTCACCGGCTCGTGTTAAGTAACTGTACTCACTCTGTCCACCCCACAGGACAGCCAGGCTTGGCCTTCCTGAATGCAGGGGGTACCATCTCACCACATCTGCTAATCGAGATTTGACAGTTACAGATGTGACTTGCTGCCATAGGACACTTACTATCAGAGAATGCTCTGAAAGGCAAAATCTCAAAGAAGCTTCAGTTAAGCATATGCCTAAATCAGGAAGAGATTTAGTGAGGGGGACCTTGCATAAACTAGTACTCTGACACCAGGGGAGCTGCAAGTACAAACAGTCAGCCTCACAAAGTTCAGCACCATTGAATGCTCATCCCGCACGGCAATTCCACCAGGGAGCTAGCTCTGACAATGTGCAGACACCGCTGGAGACAGCTTCAGTCAGTACTTTCTTGTCCCCTTCCTCGCTATTCACCACATGTATGGCTGTGCGCACCCTTGCTGATTCAGTACGATCCAGGGGGCCAACACATTTTACTGGTGTTCAGTCCTGCTGGACTCCAAGGACCTGCATGCTGATTGTTTGAGTGAATCTCACAGTTATTTGCATGTATGAACACTTAATCATTCTGTGATAAAAGGGGCTGGGAAGGTGGCTCAGTGGTAGAGCGCTTGCCTTGCATGTCAGAGGTCCTGGGTTTGATTCCTCAGCACCACATAAGCAAAAATAAAAAAGCCAGAAGTGGCGCTGTGGCTCAAGTGGTAGAGCGCTCGCCTTGAGCTGAAATGCTGAGGGATAGCGCCCACGCCCAGAGTTCAGGCCCCATGACTGGACCCAAAAAAAACAAAAACAAAACAAATCATTTTGTGATAAAGGCACAAACATGCAGCACATGTTCAAAGCACTTCCAGAGCACGCAGAATGAGGTGTGACTTAAGTTCTGGGACCTTAAACCAGTGACATGCCCTCCCTTCCCTTCAGGCTAAACAGAAGACCAGACTCCTAATTTAAGTCAGAAAGACATAGCAAGTGCTTAGAAGGTGACCAGGTGGCTTTGGCCTTGGGACACAGCCACAGGGCATTGTGCAAGTGTGTGTGAGGGCGAGGCCCACCACTGTTCTCCTGCCAGGACAGAGGAAGACAGAGGGGCCACTGGCACTGTTGTAGAGTAAGGATAAAACCAGTCAGCCCAGTAGTAAAATGAACAGTAAACAAGAAAGCCACAGGAAATGGCTCACCCGAGTCCAGGAGAGTCCAGGACCTGGAAGCCAGCTGTTAAGGCAAATCCTTATCAAAAGCCTTCTTCAATGAAAACCCACATGACAGCAACAGAGCCCCAGCAGCAAGGCACTTGTGTTGAAAATCCTGCAGCCCAGTCAAGAATAGCCAGGAAGACCCAAGGAGGCCTTGGAGCCAGATCTACCTGTCACATCAGACATGCTGACATCAGGCCAGGCTCTGAATTCCTTCCCATGGCCCTTCTCTTTCTTTGGTGGTACTGGGTTTTGAACTCTTACTACTGAATCACACCTCCAGCCCTGATTTTTGCTCATTGTATCTGAGTGGGGGTCTTACTTCCTGCTCAGGTGTGATACACCTGTGTTGGGCATCTCCATAGCTAGGGTAACAGGTGCATACTACAGAGTACAGGTTTTCACTAAGAAGGAGCAACAATCTTGGCCTCCCGAGTAGCTACTACTACAAGGGTGAGCCACCAGTGCCCAGCTTATGGTCCTTCGCTCCTCCTAAGCAAAAAGTCTCTAACTTTGGAAGCACTGTTAACGAACCAACTGCACCCACTGTACCCTAACTGGACCGCACTCACCCCAGAGGACTGGTCCACTAAGAAGCCCTACATTCTCACACAGTAGCAGAAGCACAAGAGTGCTCCTGGTCAGTCTCAAGTCATCTCTGAGGCCTGTCTTCCTCTTTGGGACAGAACAGGATGCCACCAATACCAGGGATGCAGATCAGAGTGAGGTAGCAGGAAAAATGATTCCCACCCTTCCAGCCCATCTACCTCTGCCAGGTACGCTCTTCTCCAGACAGGGTGATGGCGGTTTTACCAGATGGGAACAGAAATGACCTACTGTGTTCCCAGAGCCAATAGCCCTTGGTGGTGAAGCAAAGACCTCCACCTAAGAACAGAGGGGACACCACTCCAGACCCACTGGCCCAGGCATGCAGCTTGCAGCCCCATTAACAGGAACCTCTTTAAGTCACAGCTGTCACCTAGGAAATGCAGGCGTGTAGTCAGCAACCACCAACGACCATGGGAACAGGAAATAGGTCACATGATGAGACTAACATAGTCTGTGTTCTCCAAAGGATAGGTGGCGGAGAAAAGCTGCTCCTGGGCCTCACCAGACCATAATTCAAACGAAGCATCATAAAAACACTGTCAACCTTGTAAAGTGAGCCAATGACATTGATGCCGTAAGCCAATGTTTACATGCGGCAGTTGCATGAGAAACCTGGGAGATGTGGCACCGTGTTGAGACTATTTTAAAAAAGCCTTGGCCATAAAGAAGGACAGGCGATGGGCTGGGAAGGTGGCTCAGTGGTTTGAGTGCTTGCCTTGCATGCACGAGGGCCTGGGTTCGATTCCACATAAGCAGAAAAAGCCAGAAGTGGGGCTGTGGCTCAAGTGATAGAGCGCTAGCCTTGAGCTGAAGAGCTGAGGGACAGCGCCCAGGCCCAGAGTTCAGGCCCCACGACCGACAACACTCCCCTCCCGCCAACCCCCCCCCCCAACACACACAGAAGGTGACAAGTACAGGCAGCCTTGGAAGCATGCTGGAAGGAGAGATGGGGACAAGAGTAGCCATAGTAGTATCCCCAGGGTATAGACATAATATACTTAGGGAGGGAAGATGCAGAATGCCCACAATCCACTATACTATAATTAATTTCACTTTTTCTAGAAGGCATTTATAAGCATTCTTTTAAAGAAAACAAAGAGTTTGATAATTTAGGATGGATGACCAAAGTACTGAATGAAAATGTCCCCAACTAGACTCTTGGTATAATCACAGTAAGTTTGGGGTTGGTCCCAGACATGCCAGTATTTCCTTTGTGAAATACTTTCAGCGTCTTTCAGCGCCAATGGCAGCTCTGGAAGCCTCAGATGTGCTCTGGGCAGACCATGAACATGCGTGAGAAGTATGGCACAAAGTCACACACCTGAGCCCAACAGGTATGCAAACACTCTGTGGCGCATGCACTTGAGAATGGGCGTGCTCTCCCGAGGCAGAATTTGGATGGACGGAGTTAGACTTGACAAATTACAGAATCACGTCTTAGAACTGTATAGCAATAGACTGTACACTCTCCTTTTATTTTCATTTATTTACTTTAAATTGTTTCAATTGCCACATTCTCAATTCATATCACCCCATTTCACAAAAGTGGACCATTTGCATAGCTCTTATCTCATTCTGGATGAAAACTGCATGGAAGACTCCACATAAGCCTTCACGACACATTATCGACATAAATAATACTGAAATAGGAACCTGTACAAAGTAAACAGAAATTTCACATGGAATGAGTTCAAAAAGCTGAGGAAGATCCTGGGTTCCAAACCGCAATCTGCTACCCAATCAAGACAAGTGAATTACCAAAACCTGAGAGTGCTTGCTTGAGCTCGTTCTTGTCGATCATCCCGGAGTTGTCTCTGTCATAGGTGCGAAAGACATTCTGCCAATCTGTGATGTACTTCCAGACACCAGTGAACTCACTGAAGTTCACTCCAGCTTTGTTCTCCCGGTCAAACATAGCTGAGACACAAAGAACAGCAGTGACTTATCAGGTCTCCATGTGTAAAGAGTCAGGATTTACACCAGACTTTACCCATTAGGTGCCGGCCTGCCCTTTACTCGTGCGTGTGCATGCACGCGCACACACACGCGCGCGCGCACACACACACACAGTGCAGAGATTGTGGATAGAGCCATGATAAAACTTAAAAACAATTTTTTACACTACAATATGTTCTAGAAAGCAGACATCTGGGGATGCTCTCATTTTACCAAGAGAAAAGTGGGGTGCAGAGGTAAATGGCTCTCCTACTTCTGGCTTCTAGTCTTGGGACAGGGCCTACCCCTTTCACTCCTCAGGGCCACACCTCCTGCGCGAGGCTCAGCACAGCTAGGACAGTGAAGCCATATTTTAATTAGGAAGAGAGAGGCTGTTTGTTGTCCTATTACTTTTAGATTCTTTTAAATACTTGACACTTCACTTAAAAAAGGTAGAATTCTAGACTTAAATTAGAATAGTTACAAAAATAATCATTACAAAATCTAAAAAAACCGTAAAACTGCCCGAATTATTGCAATACTTTTTTTTTAAAAAAACATGACTTTTCATTTTTTATTTTCTTTAGTCAATCCTGGGGCTTGAACCCAGGGCCTGGGCACTGTTCCTGAGCCTCTCTGTGCTCAAGGCTAGCTAGCTACCACTTGAGCCACAGCGTCACTTTCAGCTCTTTCTGAGTATATGGTACTGAGGAATGAACTCAGCACTTCATGTATGCGAAGCAAGCACTCTACCTCTAAGCCACATTCCTAGCCCATGACTTCCATTTTAAAAAATTTTAATTCTTGGGCTGGGAAGTTGGCTCAGTGGTAGAGCGCTTGCCTTGCATGCTCGAGGCCCTGGGTTCGATTCCTCAGCACCACATAAGCAAAAAAAAGAAAAAAGCCAGAAGTGGCGCTGTGGCTCAAGTGGTAGAGCGCTACCCTTGAGCTGAAGAGCTGAGGGACAGTGCCCAGGCCCAGAGTTCAGGCCCCACGATCGGACCCAAAAAGAAAAAAAAAAAAAATTTTAATTCTTGACCCAAACGTAAGAACTGATAACTATGTTTATGTATAATTATGCAAAATGTTAAAACATAAATATAAACAAAGCCAGCGCCAGTGGCTCACTGTAATCCTCATAGCTCAGGAGGCTGTGATCTGAAGACTGAAGTTCAAAGTCAGCCCAGGCAGGAAAGTCTTTGAGACTCTTACCTCTAATTAGCCACCAAAAAGTGAGAAGTAGAGCTGTAGGTCTACTTCACTTCTCTCTACTAGAGAAGTAGCTCAAAGGGTAGAATGCTAGTGTTGAGCAAAATAAAGCTGATGGGTGAGTCCAAGCTCTGAAGCCCCAGAACTGGCACAAAAAAGAAAAAAGTATATAAATGCTGGGATACAAGTAGTTAAAAAAAAATCAGTAGCTAGGTACTGGTGGCTCATGCCTATAATTCTACCTGTTCAGGAAGTCCACTAGACTTCACCTACAAAATAACCAGCAAACAGCAGGCTCACGCGGTAGAACACCAGCTGAGAAAACGGAGCAAGCATGAGGTCCTTCATTTAAGCCCTGGTTCCAAACACAAAAAACAAAAAAACTGAGAAATTCTGGAACCATGTATCTATGTAAGAACCGATAACTATGTTACGTATAATGACACAATGACTAAAACTGTAAAAAAAAACTCAGATTGAGTTCCTGCTGTAGAGGAGATGAGGGATCATTGAGTGTCTGTAGCAGTGACCTTGGCTGGACAAAGACTGTGACAATCCAGTGACTTTGAGGGGTAGGGGCAGGTACTCAGGCTCGAATTTTGGGCCTCCGCCCCTCAACTTTTGTGGTTCACAGCTGATGAACCACGCCTCCAGCATGGTTAATTGGAGATAGCCTCCTCACAGACTTTCTGCCTGGGTTGGCTTTAAACCATGATCCTTTGCTCTCAGGCCCCCGAGAGCTAAAATTACAGGCCATCAGGGCCAATCCCAGTGAAGGAATGTGTAATAAACTCCACACCAAGGGATGCCCAGAGACAAAAACTGCATGCATGGTGTGGTGCAGACATAATGCACACAGGCAAATGCTAAAGAGCACCTTCAGTTGAGGATGGACAGACCAGCTTCCAGACTGACCTCTGCCAGAGGGTCCACATCTTCCTAGTGCTGAAGGCTCGGCCACAGCCAGCAAACTTCCTAGTAAGTCTTTACTGCCTCCAACTCACGTGTCAGACACCAACACACTTTGCAGAATGCCACTGAGTTCACAAAACAGTACTGAGAACCTTCTCAAAGCGCTCACAGGAGGGAACAATGGGCATGTGTCCTGGCTCCTGTGGAACGAAGTACTGGTCCCAAGATTGTCTATTTAACGGGCTGGAAGGGAACTGTCTCTCCAGAAGGCTAGAGGAAAATTCCACCTCCCAGCAAAGGAAATCCTTCAGAAACCAAAAAGACAGTGACCGTCTTGTGAGAACATTTGGCCAGAGGTCCATCCCCTGTTCTTGCATGTGGGCCTCTAAATACTTGCTCCCTGTACAGCAAGAACAAACCCAAACTGAGAACCAGCAAGCTGACTAGCAGGAATATTGGGCATGCTCTCTCTAGGGCCCACTCGCCATTCAAGCCATCAGCTCGTGCATACTAAATTCAACGAAACACAAACCTACAGAACAAAGAAAAACTTATGTGAGGCTCAGCAGGAACCATAACCAGAGGAAGATCACCCTCCTGGGGCGGGGGTCATGAGGAACACAGCAAAGTAAGGATAAGTAACTACTTTTTCAGGAAAAACATACTTAAAATGTAATCATAGGCTGAGAAGGTGGCTCAGTGGTAGAGTGTTTGTCTAGCATGCATGAGGCCCTGGGTTTGATTCCTCAGCACCACATACACAGGAAAAGCCAGAAGTGGCGCTGTGGCAAGTGGTAGAGCACTAGCCTTGAGCAGAAGAAGCTAAAGGACAGTGCCTAGGCCCTGAGTTCAAGCCCTAGGACTGGGAAAAAAAAAAAGAAAAGATAATCATAGTTGGGCGCTGGTGGCTCATGTCTGTAATCCTAGCTACTCAGGAGGCTGTGATCTAAGGATTGTTGTGGTTCAAAACCAGTCTGGGCAAAAAAGTCCCTGTGAGACTCTTAATCTCCAATTAACCACTCAAAACCAGAAGTGGCACTGTGGCTCAAAGAGCACAAGCCTTGAGCAAAAGAGCTCGGGTATAGTGGCCAGCCCCTGAGTTCAAGCCACACAATCCCCTCCCTTAAAACAAAACACATCATCATATACATTTGAGTGAAAGGTATAATAAAAAATGAGCAAGAGACTGTCAACAATAACCAAGTAAGGCTTAAAGACAACTAAATACTATTCCAGAAGTTTTATACATCTAGGACTTTTAGCATAAGAGAGTAAAAGGACAAGTTAAGCTGTAACTCAAGTGAAAAAAAATCAGAAAAACAACATAATGGAGGCGAGAGTTGATATAGAGGTAGGGAGGGTGGAATGTAAGGACCCAACACCATCTGACTGAAATCCCAGAAACAGAGAAAAGGAAGCACAAGTTGGTCCAGGCAGCAGCAGGACTTGGCCTGTCCGTACAGATACTCACAGATGATTGACCTGACGGTCACTGGATTAAACGGGGTCCATGTACCTGAAAACAAATGACAGACATCACCAACCTGACAAAATAAAGCCATCTGACACAACACCTGACTGCCTCACCTACAGGAAGAGCCCCTGAGAGCCAGCAGCCAGAGGTTCCCAGCAGAGAGCAGGCTCTAGGGACTCTGAGAGCTCTCAAGAGCCCTCACTAAGCACCTCTCTTCTGCATCAAGTGTGTACTGCTCTCCGTGTCCTGCCAAACATCCATATAATCACTAGAACCTAGGAATTAACTGTTTCTCTGTGGAGCTTTGGTGTGGTGAGTGTCTCAGGAGAGCGGACACACTTCTCAGGTCAACAATTCTCTAGGCTAAGTATCATGGTGATAGTTTCTTACAAGAGACACGGAGTAACAGCAGTTGGGGAGCTCCCAGAGCCTGAGGGATAAACCTCACTCAAGCAGCACAGGCCTAGGCCAAAGTAGGATAAGGTCCAGGGTTTCTCTGTAGTCAATCACTAAGCAAAAACAGGTTTGCCACAAATCATATTTTTGGTTTAACTAGGTAGAATGGCACAGCTCAGCTCAAGACCTTTGGGGTAGGCGGCTAGGGAGAAAGTAATTTTCCATCAGAACCTTCTAGGAGCTCAGTTCCCACAAAATAGACAAGTTGGTCATTTTGGCCATGTGAGGGACTAGGCTGCCCAGCCTGCTGAGTTCATCTTCCCTCCACCCTCTCCAGGAACCAGGCATGGGGAGATCACACCCCTCCTGTGCTCCAGCACAAAGTAACACTCTGTAATTGGGTTGGTCTAAGGCAAGGACTTATCTTGCCTTAGTCTGGGTTCTCTCCAGTTTCTTAATAGACACTATAACTCTGATAAAATTATCTTTAAAATAAAGTAACATTTGAGTGAAGGAAGGGATGACATTGTCCAAAAAAAGATGTACTTTTGGGCTGGGAATGTGGCTTAGTGGTAGAGTGCTTGCCTTATATGCATGAAGCCCTGGGTTCGATTCCTCAGTACATAGAAAAAGCCAGAAGTGGTGCTGTGGCTCATGTGGTAGAGTGTCAGCCTTGAGCAAAAGAAAGGACAAGGCCTAGGCCCTGAGTTCAAACCCCTTGATTGGGAAAAAAATAAAAAGAAACCCCAGCTCTTTCTGGTTACTTGATCACAAGTACCATGAAGTTCACTGCCTTTCTGTGTGCAGGATCAGCATAATTGTGACTTAATAGATGCAAATCAATTCTCTCCATCTCCTTCTGTGAACTACCACAATATGGTTGAAACTACTTTGATTTCTAGTTCTGGGTTAGTCTAGTGTTTTGGAATTGAAGCCAGATTAAACTTTCAGGCATTTATAGGAAGTTGTAAATTCAAAAATAAAATAGTTTCCCACTTTAGTCTGAGATTCTGAGCATAAGCTCCCTGTAGCAGTTCAATTGATGCATGCTGAGTATGTCTGTAGGCCCTTACTTGGGTCTCCAGGAGACAAGGAGCTACTGAGCAAGTACCTTTTTTAAACTTTCACATCATACTGGTCACCAGTGGCTCATGCCTGTCTTCCTACCTATCCTAGGCTGAGTACCTGACAGCCCAGGAAGGAAAGTCAGTGAGACTCATCTCCAGTACACCACTCAGAAAATCCAAAGTGGCTCAAGTGATAGAGCCTTGTCTTGAGCTGAAGAGCTGAGGGACAGCGCCCAGGCCCAGGGTTTAAGCCCCATCACTGATTTTTTAAAAAAGGAGGGAAAAACTTTCACATCATTTCTTTGGCTTGTAAAAAAACTAATCTCAAGTCTTTTGTGCTTCGAATTGGGTCTAACACAACATAGTTGTGATTTGAGGAAAATTTTGAGGTTTTTTTAATGTTTCAGTTTTTAAATTTAATATACAAAGGGGTTACAGTTACATAAGTCAGGTAAAAAATGCCTAAGCATTGTCCTTTCTTTTGCTCAAGGCTGACACTCTACCACATGAGCCACAGCACCACTTCTGGCTTTTTCTGCGTATGTGGTGTTGAGGAATCGAACCCAGGGCCTCATGCATGCAAGGCAAGCGCTCTATCCCTGAGCCACCTCCCCAGCCCCTAAGAGCTGAGGTTTAAAGCCGCTCCCCCCAGAATCTGGCACTGGTATGTTAGCAGTCAGAGGTGAGGCGGGCACATGAAGGCCTGCCTCCATCTTGACACTCCACTTTCTACCAAGCAATGACCAGCCTGGAAGCCCTGACCAGAGCTCACCACGCTCTTGACCTCCCAACTTCCAAGGCTGAGCAAAATGAGTGTCTGTCTGTTGTCTGCGGTAGTGCTGTAGCATCAGAAAGAAGAATGGTAGCCCGGGCAGGGGCAGCACACACCTCGGCAGGAAAGAAAAGCAGGGGAACCCGGAGCACGTGGCAGGGGGACAGAGAAATACAGGTGCCTTGAACAGCAGAGGGCTGGCTCAGCAGAGCATGTGGGATGCTAGCAAGCAGAGAGACAGGGAAACACCAAGACCTCACAGGAATGCTCCAGGGAAGGAAAAGAATGGCAGAGCACAGGAGCTGCGACCACAGCCCCCTCTGAAGCGACATCCTGGCTCTGCTCCAACAGCACCACAGACAAGGCAGAGCTGTGGCGTCAACCTCACCTGCTCCATAGGCTGAACGGTGATCATGGTGCCCAGAGAGAAATGAAAGAAACTTGCACACAAAGTAAAATAAAATTCACTTATGCTGGCCAACCCAGAAAATAGGAGGATTAAGAGGGAAAGAAAGGAGTCTGAAAATTTACCTCCTAATTCTAAACTCTCACTACCAGGAGGCCACAAATGCGTCTTCAAATTTTTAGCAGCTACCTTGAAGATGAAAATATAACCGTCAAGACTCAAGCCAAAAAAAGACTGTCGTGTAAGATACAGAAAGAAAACAGCGGCCACAGCCTCTCAGGCTGCCACCCCTCTGGGGATGCAAACTGAGGCCTTGCAAGGCTAAAGGGACCCCAACAGGAGCTGAGGGTTTCCCTACTTCACTGGGGCACAATAGGAGCTAATCTTTGAAACTACGGGAGGAGATAAGTCTCAATACCCTTTAGGCAGCTGCTGCTCTCTCAAGCAGGCTCCTGACAAAGGCTGAGTGACAGCTGTGACCAAGGCTGTGTTCTGACCACTACTTGTTGAGGACTAGAGCAGCGCCAGGCGCTCAGAGCAGGTGAGGTGGTCTCCCCTTCCCATGGTAGGGGACACTCTGCTGAGCACCCTATGTTGTGTCCATAGGATACTCATAAGTAGAACCCATGATCACTGACATTACTGAATCTCCCACCAAGCTGGCCAATAGCAGCAGCACTAACATTACCTCCACCAGTATCTACAACTAACAACCTTCAACATCCTGAGAGGCATCTTGCCTAGGTTTCCTTTATTTACCCTCTCTACACTGTGTGCCTGCCCAAGATTTGAACCCAGGCAGCCTCCCTCAGGGTCCCCAGTGGAGCCCTCTACCATGTTGGAGTTCTGTTGTCAAGTTTTAGGCCAGGATTTGCTTCATCAGTCTGCTGGGAAACAAGGCACTTTCTAATAAACCTACCTAATATTTCCCTGAGAAGGACATACACTCAAAGATGCAAATTACAGAAGAGACTAATCAAGAAGGCATAATACCAAGGTAGAGGCAATGGAATCTCTTAATTGTCTAATAACAAAACTTTGAAATAGCACCCAGCTTCTTTGTTCACACAGGTTAGACAGTGGGAAATGGTGCTATGGTAGCCTTCATTTTTTTTTTTTGGGGGTCCGGTCATGGGGCCTGAACTCTGGGCCTGGGCGCTGTCCCTCAGCTCTTCAGCTCAAGGCTAGCGCTCTACCACTTGAGCCACAGTGTCACTTCCAGCTTTTTCTGCCTATGTGGTGCTGAGGAATTGAACCCAGTGCATGCAAGGCAAGTGCTCTACCACTGAGCCACCTTCCCAGCCTGTAGCCAACACCACCCCTCACTTAACACAGATTCTCAGAAAGAACAAAATGTCTATCATGTGCTAATAGCATGGTCCTAACACTAAGAGGCACTGTCGATCAACCAAAAGGGCCCAATCTCTTGTCCAACCAACTACAACATGAAAGTGTGTCCACTATACATTAGCCTTCCAACACTTGCAGACTGTAGAAGTGACTTCTCGAAAGTAAGTTACCAATACAAAACCAGAAGACCGAAGAGGGATTGGAACCCATTTGATGAAGGACAATGTCTCTAACAATGACTCCATAGAAAGCCCCCACTATCCTCCACGGTAGGGCCGCGGCCCTCCCAGCCCAGCAGAATGCTTATTATTCCCCCAGCAGATAAGAACGCCTCCCTGTCACCCCGAAGCAACAGCCCCCACTTCCCAATCTGGCCCTAACGTTTCAGCAGTTCCCATCACAAAAGTGGCCACATGGACCCCTCAAACATTCTGTTACTGTCTGGGATGGTCCTCCCCAGACGCGCTGGGACTAACTCACCCACACATTCAAGACTTCGTTTCTCTCCTAAGACCTGCATCCCAGCCCCACTTCTCAGGTGGTACTTTCCAAGGTCATCAAGATCAGTTGTTGGCGCTCAGTAAGGTAGGAGTCATGAATACAACCAGGAACCCATGGAACAGAAAGACCTCCACAGCAACTTGGTTTTAACAGTGACCCGTACTTGGGAGACTCCAAAAGGAAATGGCTTATTAGTAACTTATCAGGTTTCAACTCACCATTGGAGAGCGCTTGCTGAAGCTCATTGTCCGATATCACCCCACTCCTATCTTTATCAACCCTACAAAATCAAGGCCAGGGGAGCTGTGAGGAAAAGTGCACGAAAAGCAAAGCAAACAGAACAGAACAGGTCTCCATCACTATACATTCACATGTATTCCGACACTATTCCTGGACTGTTGCTCAGCAGACCTGCCACTGTGCCCGAATGCCACATGCCCCCTTTTGCCCTGAGCTTTAGGGGGAACCCTCTAGCCTCTAAGAGGCTAAATCCCCTTTGTCACTGTCTCAAGCTTTGCTTGGCTCCACCCCAGGCCTGTATGAATTCATACCTGAACTAGTTAAATCGCTCCCTGGCCATAGGTCACTAGAATTAGTCACACTCAGAAGCAGTGGAAGACACTGGGGATCCTTGTCTGTTTTCACAGTGCTCAATTTCTGAAACAAGCACTTCAGCTCCTCTGTGGTGCTGGAAACTGCATCTCAACCCTGAGCCTAAGACTACATCCCGTGGCCTTGTCGTGTGTGTGTGTGTGTGTGTGTGTGTGTGTGTGTGTGTGTGTGTGTGTGTGTGTGTGTGTGTGTGTGTGTGTGTGTGTGTGTGTGTGTAGGACGACTAGAGGAGGTAGAACTATGAAGAGAGGATTCGTGAGAGGAGAGGAGCGGAGGGAGGAGGGGTGAGGACAGAGGGGAATTCATGGGGGGCAGGGAGGAGGATGAAGGACTGTAAGGAGGAGTGAGGACAAAGGGGAATTAGTATGTGTGGGGGGTGAGCAGGGAGAATGAGGAAAGGGAAGGCGGTGAGGAGGATGGTGGGAAGGAGGGCAGTGAGGAGGGCTGGAGGGGGGGAGGACCAAGAGGGGAACTGGGGGGGCAGGGAGGATGAGGAGGAGGGGGAAGGTGATGAGGAGGTGAGGTGTGGAAGACGAAGAGGGGAACTCACAGGGGACCAGGGAGGACGAGAGGGAGGATGGGGGGAAGGGGGGGAGGGCGGGGGAAGGGGAGGATGACAGGGGAAGGGGAGGAGGATGGGGAAGGGGAGGAGGATGGGGAAGGGGATGAGGGCAGTGGGGAGGAGGACGGGGGAAGGAGAGGAGACGGGGAAGGGGAGGACAAGGGAAGGGGAGGAGGGGAGGGAGGCAGTGGGGACGGGGAGGGGGCGGCGGGAGGAGGACGGAGAGGGGAGGACGGTGGGAAGGACGAGAAAGAGGAGGACATGGAGGAGGACGGAGACGGGTGGGAGGACGAGGAACGGGAGGGGGCGGTGGGGAGAAGACAGGGACTGGAGGAGGACGGAGACGGGAGGACGGCGGGGGGGGGGGAGGCGGAGGGTGGGAGGACGGCGGGGACGGGGGGAGGAGGCGGAGGGTGGGAGGACGGCGGGGACGGGGGGGGGGGGAGGCAGAGAGTGGGAGGACGGCGGGGGGGGGGGAGGCGGAGGGTGGGAGGACGGCGGGGACGGGGGAGGAGGCGGAGGGTGGGAGGACGGCGGGGACGGGGGGGGGAGGCGGAGGGTGGGAGGACGGCGGGGACGGGGGGGGGGGAGGCGGAGGGTGGGAGGACGGCGGGGACGGGGGGGGGGAGGCGGAGGGTGGGAGGACGGCGGGGACGGGGGGGGGGAGGTCGAGGGTGGGAGGACGGCGGGGACGGGGGGGAGGAGGCGGAGGGTGGGAGGACAGCGGGGACGGGGGGGGGGAGGCAGAGAGTGGGGGACGGGGGGGAGGTCGAGGGTGGGAGGACGGCGGGGACGGGGGGGGGGGAGGCGGAGGGTGGGAGGACGGCGGGGACGGGGGGGAGGCAGAGAGTGGGAGGACGGCGGGGACGGGGGGGGGAGGCGGAGGGTGGGAGGACGGCGGGGACGGGGGGGAGGCAGAGAGTGGGAGGACGGCGGGGGGGGGGGGGAGGCGGAGGGTGGGAGGACAGCGGGGACGGGGGGGAGGCAGAGAGTGGGAGGACGGCGGGGGGGGGAGGCGGAGGGTGGGAGGACAGCGGGGACGGGGGGGAGGCGGAGGGTGGGAGGACGGCGGGGGGGGGGAGGCGGAGGGTGGGAGGACGGCGGGGACGGGGGGGGGGGGGGAGGCGGAGGGTGGGAGGACGGCGGGGACGGGGGGAGGAGGCGGAGGGTGGGAGGACGGCGGGGACGGGGACGGCGGGGTGGGGACGGGGACGGGGACGGCGGGGTGGGGACGGGGACGGCGGGGTGGGGACGGGGACGGCGGGGGTGGGGACGGGGACGGGGACGGGGACGGCGGGGTGGGGACGGGGACGGCGGGGTGGGGACGGGGACGGCGGGGTGGGGACGGGGACGGGGACGGGGACGGGCCCCGCCTCACCGCTGGAAGACGTTCCACAGGAAGCTCTGGTCCGGCAGCGCCGCGCCCGCGGCGGGGCTGGGGCCGGCCCCGGGGCCCGGGCGGTAGGCGTAGGCGGCCATGGACGGGGCGACGCGGCTCCGCTCTCACTGCAGCGCTTCCGCCTCTCCGCGGGGCGGGGCCTGCGCGCGCGTGACTTCCGGCTCCGGAAGCGTGTCTCCGGAAGGGGCGGGCCCGGCTGAGCGCGTCGCGCGTGTCGTCGGCAGCGCCCCGGGCCTCCCGTGCTCCCCGTGGGAGACGGAGCTGCCCGCGTTTGCCGCCGCGCCCTGCGCCCCGGAACGCCGAGCCGCGGCCGGCCTGTGGGCTGGGCGCCGGTGCCCGTCACTCCCGCTCGCCGGCCTCCCCCAGCGAGGGCGAGCTCGCCAATGCCGGACCTGGGCCGCGCGTGGGCCCCGCCTGCCGGACGCTCCGTGACGCGTGACTGCACACGGCCCCGCGTCTGGCCGCCCCCCCCCCCCACGTCCTCCGCCTCGCCCTGCCGCGCCCTTTCCTCCGTCCGCCCCGCCCCGCCCTTTCCTCCGCCCCGCCCTTTCCTCCGTCCGTCCCGCCCCGCCCCGTCCTCCGTCTCCCCGCCCTTTCCTCCGTCCGCCCCGCCCCGTCCTCCGTCTCCCCGCCCTTTCCTCCATCCGCCCCGCCCCGCCCCGTCCTCCGTCCGCCCCGCCCTTTCCTCCGTCCGCCCCGCCCTCCGTCCGCCCCGCCCCGTCCTCCGCCAGTCCCACCCCGCCCCGCCCTGTCCTCCGTCTCCCCGCCCTTTCCTCCCTCCGCCCCGCCCCGCCCTGTCCTCCGTCTCCCCGCCCTTTCCTCCATCCGCCCCGCCCCGCCCTGTCCTCCGTCTCCCCGCCCTTTCTTCCGTCCGCCCCGCCCCGCCGCGCCGCGCGCTCCTCCCGCTCCTCCCAGGCGCCAGCGGCCCCAGCCCTCGCCCAGCCCTACACAGTCCCCAGGCCCCTTGTTCTTCAGCCAAGCGAACTCACGCGCTCCTTGAACAGGCCTAGACCCCACAACCTCGGTCCTGCGCCTCCCGCTTTCCCGCCGCCTGGCCCCGCTCTGCCCTCCAGGAATGTCTAAACCCTAACTACCATCTGTGCCTGCCAGCAGGCGTCCCAGGACCGAGACTTCAGCCAGAAACAGCCACCGCCCAGCTGACACCTCCCCGAAGCCCAGGGCCCAGGCTCCCCAGGACCAACCACAGACAGATGCACAGACACCGGGGCCCCACGGCTCCCCAGGACCAACCACAGACTGATGCACAGACACCGGGGCCCCACGGCTCCCCAGGACCAACCACAGACTGATGCACAGACACCGGGGCCCCACGGCTCCCCAGGACCAACCACAGACTGATGCACAGACACCGGGGCCCCACGGCTCCCCAGGACCATCCACAGACAGATGCACAGACACCGGGGCCCAGGCTCCCCAGGACCAACCACAGACAGATGCACAGACACCGGGGCCCAGGCTCCCCAGGACCAACCACAGACTGATGCACAGACACCGGGGCCCCACGGCTCCCCAGGACCAACCACAGACAGATGCACAGACACCGGGGCCCAGGCTCCTCAGGACCAACCACAGACAGATGCACAGACACCGGGGCCCAGGCTCCCCAGGACCAACCACAGACTGATGCACAGACACCTGGGCCCCACGACTCCTCAGGACCATCCACAGACAGATGCACAGACACCGGGGCCCAGGCTCCTCAGGACCAACCACAGACAGATGCACAGACACCGGGGCCCCACGGCTCCTCAGGACCAACCACAGACAGATGCACAGACACCGGGACCCAGGCTCCCCAGGACCAACCACAGACAGATGCACAGACACCGGTGGCCGTGGCACACAGACGTGTCCTGTTCCACGCTCAGGCTAGTTCTAGGCCTTTTCCAATGCTTACAAGGACCTACACTCCATCTGTGTTTAAAGTTGTTTTATCCTCACTCACTTATGAGGCTTTGGAGGGAGACCCTTCAGTGTTTTCTAGCAGATCTCAGCAGGATGACTTGCTGCTTTGTCTTGGGAGTTGCTGGTACAGTTCCAGGGCTTGCTCAGGGCTTCTCATGAGCCCTGGGCTAGCTGCTCACTGCTGGCCTCTACCATGTCTCCAATCCAACTTGCTTGCACATGGAGCTGGTATGTTTTAAAGGGCTACTTCAGGGCATGTTAGAACATAGCATTTTATGTGAATTCAATGAATTATAATCTACAGAGTCACTGAGAAATCCTACTTTAGTTAGTCTCATTGTTCGAAGGCTAGTAATGAACTTTTTTTTTCTTTTTTTGCCAGTCCTGGGGCTTGAACTCAGACTGGGCACTGTCCCTGAGCTTCTTTTGCTCAAGGCTAGCACTCTAACCTTTGAGCCACAACACCACTTCTTGGCTTTTTCTGTGTATGTAGTACTGAGCAATCAAACCCAGGGCTTCATGGGCACTCCACCACTAAGCCACATTCCCAGCCCTAAATGGACAGTCTTTTATGAGAAAAAAATTAATAGCTCAAAATCTGAAATAGAAATACATACTCCCCCCCCACCCCCATTGCATGAGCTTGCTGAGCATTGGTGGCTCATGTCTGTAATCCTACTTACTTAGGAGGCTGAGATCTGAGGATCACGGTTCAAAGCCAGCCTGGGCAGAAAAGTCCCTGTGAGATTATTTCCAATTAACCACTCAAAAACCAGAAGTGGCCCTGTGGCTCAAGTGGTAGGAGCACAAAGAGGTTCAGGGACAGCGCCCAGATCCTGAGTTCCAACCCCATAACTGACAAAAAAAAGACAACACATGAGGTTGGAAACCCTGCTAGTTTGCAAACTAGATTAATGGAGCTAAGGAGAAACCAGTTCTGCACTTCCCCCTGTGCCTTTTATCTCCTACTTCAACTGCTGCTGAGTCATCTCCCAGCAACTTGTGTACAATCCAAACAAAGTTTTTTGTTGTTGGTTTTTTGGTCGTGGGCTTGAACTCTGGGCCTGGGCACTGTCCCTCAGCTCTTCAGCTCAAGGCTAGCGCTCTATCACTTGAGCCACAGAGCCACTTAAGTTTTCTGGTGGTTAACTGGAGATGAGTCTCATGGACTTTCCTGCCCAGGCTGGCTTTGAACTGTGATCCTCAGATCTCAGCCTCCTGAATAGCTAAGATTACAGGGGTGAGCCGTCAGAGCCCGGCTCCAAAGTAATAAAGTTTTAAATTCACTCATCTCAGACTTTTTACCACTTGGCCAACAGTGCCATTTCCAGCTTTTTGTGAGTAGTTTACTGGAGATAAGTCTCAACGACTTTCTTGCCCAGGCTGGCTTTGAACTATGATCCTCAAATCTTAACCTCTTGAGTACTTAGGCATGAGCCACTGATGCCTGGCTTCTTCTCAGACTAATTTTTAATTTGAAAGATGATCTAACTGTAAGGTCCACTCCTGGATGGTGAGCAGACTCCACCCTCCTCCCAGCAAAGTCTCCACCCAGTACCTGGGTTACCTAGGCAACTGGCACACCTGGAAGAGGTCACATCCACATCTGCTGAGGTCACATCTGAATTTGATGTGGCCACATCTTTCTCTGCTCATACCCTAGATAAGGCCTAGCCCAGGCCCAGATGCCCTCTCTGCTCTTTTCTAGCTCTTTCCCACCTCTTTCCCAGACGGTCTCTTTTCTAGCTCTTTTCTCTCTCTTTCCCAGCTCTCCCAGCTCTCTTTCCCAGGCCTTTCCCCACCGCATGGAGGACCAAGATGGCCTGGTGCCAGCCGGAACAATGAATAAACCTACCCCTTACCTGAATACCACGTGCCTGGTCCTGTTCTTACTCGGCTACCTCTTTTTAAAAAACCTAACACTAACAATTTTTGTTCATAAATATGCAAAACACTTGCCCAGTATATCACTTCCTAGTATATCCAACCTCACTTCTGAAGTAGATGCTGAATCTAATGGGCACCATCAGGACCACACGGTGGATGATGGGGAATTAGGGTTAACTGGCACCCAGTGATGGTGGGGGCAGGCAAGCCTCACCTCTTGGGTGATGGGCATGCCTGAATTCCTAGAGGCAGGGTGGGTTACTGGGCCGGCAGCTGTCTCCTGTTCTTGTCCTGTCTCCTGTCTCTTTTCCTCGCCACCATGGAGTCCTTCAGGTCCCCATTGGAGCTGATCTGGTTTGTGGGTATGGTTTTCTGGCTCGTTCTCTCCTCTGTCTCTCATGGTTCCGTTTTCTGTTAAGCTGTATTTGTGAGGCTGCAGATCCTTAAGATAGGAATCCATCTGCAGACCCCTGATATGGCCTCTGAAAATGTGGCTTCTCTGTTTTCTTGTCGTACACTGCCAGTCTGTACCGTACTATCCTCCATTTGAGATTTTTCACCTTCCAGTGTGTAAGAAAAAATAGAATGAATGCATGGTACTAAATAAGCTGAGTAGTTTGTTACAGTGTTGGGTTGTTTTTGAGACAGGGTACCCCAGGCTGTAACTTGAACTTGAAATTGTCCTGTCTGCCAAATGTTGGCATGGAGCTTGAACTCTGGGCCTAGGTGCTGTCCCTGAGCTCTTCAGCCCAAGGCTAGTGCTCTACCCACTGAGCCACAGTGCCACTTCCAGTTTTCTGGTGGTTCATTGGAGATAAGAGCCTCATGGGCTTTCATGCTGGGGCTGGCTTTGAACTGTGATCCTCACATCTCAGCCTGAATAGCTAGGATTGCAGGCATGAACATGCATGAGCCACCAGTGCCCAGCCTCTCCCCCATTCTTTAGCTATACAGGACTCCCAGTGCTTGGATAAATGTACTTTACTGTTACAATAAATTTTGTATGTTAAAGGAAGATTAAGTAGAGTTTCTGGGGCAAAGGGCAGATTCATAAGTAGTCTTGTTAGATGTTGTCAAATTCTCTTCCATAATGGCTGAACTCTCTGCCTTCCACCAGTCAAACCCAAGTGTTCTTGCACTCCACAGCAACATTCTGGGTGCTTGCTGTTAGGTCTTCCCAGGAAGAATGGCCTGTTCCCTACAACCCCCACCCAGCATTGTAACCCAGGTAACGGGCACCTCGGCCTTTCCACCCCCTGTACCCTCCAGCTTGTGTAGGCTGGCAGTATGCTTTCCCCCAATAAACT